CCCCCCCCACCATCTTGTGCGCTCCCACAGGAGCTGAACTCCCGCCCATCATTATTTCGTACCTGCCCACACAAATTTGAGCCCCCGCCACCGTCTTGAGCCCACCCACACGAGTTCTCGCCCATTACTATTTTGTGTCCCCCACACAAATTTCTGCCCCCCGCCACCATCTTGTGCCCGCCCACACGAGTTCCCGCCCATCATTATTTTGCACCTGCCCACACAAGTTTTCGCCCCCCACACCATCTTGTGCGCTCCCACAGGAGCTCCCACCTCCTCCCACCATCTTGAGCCCACCCACACGAGTTCTCGCCCATCATTATTTTGCACCTGCCCACACAAGTTTTCGCCCCTCCCACCATCTTGTGCCCTCTCACACGAGTTCCCGCCCATTATTATTTTGTGCCCCCACACAAATTTCTGCCCCCCCACCATCTTGTGCCCTCCCACAGGAGTTCTCGCCCATTATTATTTTGTGCCCCCCACACAAATTTCTGCCCCCCCGCCATCTTGAGCCCACCCACACGCGTTCCCGCCCATTATTATTTTGAACCTGCCCACACAAGTTTTCGCCCCCCACACCATCTTGTGCGCTCCCACAAGAGTTCCCGCCCCCTCCCACCATCTTGAGCCCACCCACACGAGTTCTCGCCCATTATTATTTTGTGTCCCCCACACAAATTTCTCGCCCCCCCACCATCTTGTGCCCGCCCACACGAGTTCTCGCCCCTCCCGCCGCCGTTGCCCAGCAACGCCCGAGCGGCCCCGGCTCATCCTCGTTCCCCGCGGCCATGAGGCGCCCCGGCTCCAACCCGCTGGAAGCCTTCAACTACATAGCGCGGGATGACTACTGGTAACGCCCGGCCTCGGCAGCCTCTGCTGCTGTTCCCTCTCCACCTTCTGAAGGGGTTTTCATGTATTTAAAGAGCGTGTGCGCTAGTCAAGCTTTGGTAAAAATATCAGGGCTTTTAGAGCCGTCTGCAGCGCTTCCCTCTTTCCCCGCCGGCTGTGGGGACGGGGCATCTCGCCAGTCAACAGTAAATGAAAGTAAATCTGAAAGGGCATTGGTACTTATTTTTCAACCGCCTCCGCTTCTTTCTCTTTATAAACAATCATTTAAAGGCAGTGCGTTCACACGCGCTGTTTCAAACCTCTGGAAAGTGTTTTCCCAATAGCTTTAAGTCAGGCAATGATAATTTGTACACGAACCTGCTGTTCTGAGGTGAAAGCTTAAAGGTTCCAGCTAAAGTGCTGTGCTTTGTGACATCAATAGTTGGGTTGGCGTGTTGGAGTTTTTTTAATGGAAGTTTTCAAAGCAATCTTAAATATTTCTCTGTTGGTTTCAGGAAAAGGCATATTGAAAGTGAAAGAGACGCTGCAAAAAGATGGGCCGACAAATGGGGATTTTTGAAAACACCGCTTGAGGAGGTAAAATTGAATTGCATATGAGCAATATATGAAATCTACTTGTGCACAGATTTACCTGGACACAAAGTTATGAGAATACAGAAGGCTCAACATGTACTGAGTATGCTTTACTAAGCTGGGATCTGAGGTAGCAACTGCACTACTTTTGAGATAGTTCAAATATTCCGTTTCCTTCTGAATAAAGTACATCAAGTGGTAATTGATATGCTGTGCATATTCTGATGTATTTCTCTTGAGAAGCATGACTCCTAATAGTGCTAACAAGTACTAGATGCACACTGACAGGAAAATATTTCCCCTTTGTCTCTCCATATGGTATTTTTAAAATCTAGGGGAAAAGGTTCCAGCTAATTAAATTGTCAGTGGGAGAATCTACAACAAATGAAAATATTTGGAGTGATGTCTCTTCTCAGTGATGTTTAGATATTACAATACAGTAGCACATGAGGTTACATTCGGAATCACAGTATTTCTTTGCTAAAGAACAGGATTAATGTAGCTCCTGCATAGTTACAAATGTACTTTGCATGTTTTCTGATACAAAAAAAAAAAAAAATTAGTAATTTCCAAAGCTTGAGATGGAAAGAACAGGAAGTTCAGATGCAACAATGAGGGGAATGGTGTGGATGTCACATATTACAGTATATTTCAAAAGATAAAGAGTCCAGTTTTTAATTATGTTTTGATTTTAGTTGCTCGGAGAAGAAAAGAAAGTTGCAAAGCCCAAGATAGAGCTTCCAGATCACCTGCGGGTTCGTCCTGTGACACCTGTGGAAAAATACATTAAGGTTAGAAAATTAGATTTTAAAATTGCAATACAGCAACATCTGCCTTAAGAAACCACACAAGCTCTAAAAACCAGTTGTTTTATAGAGGGGGGTCTTTAACTTAAGGTCAAAGTAAACTGCATTTGCAAGCCAGGCTTGTCTTTAAGACAAGGAATTGCCCTTTGGATATGGTTGTAATTTTTCTACCTTTATTTAAGAGTCTTCCTTTTGGCAGAGACAATGCCACTGTCCTCTTCAGTAGCACAAATTAATAAGAAGCCAGTTCTAATAATCCAAGTCATAATTGTTTTGTTTATGATTTATATGTATATGTTTAGAATCTTAAAGCTGTCAAACAGCTGGGAAGCAGAATGTGACTGATGGTTTAATTTATAAATATGGTGTGCCAGAATCACCAGTGAATAGAGTAACTCTACAGGCAGCTAAAGCAGTGACACTGGGAGAGGAAGGTACTCACGAAAGGGGAAGCAGAATATGCTAACAAAAAAGGTTAGTCCACTTAGAGAAGATTAGGGAAATAAAGGAGATTGGAAAGTCTTACTTGCTGAACTAGCTTTCTTTCAAAGGATTCCAAGGGTGGGGAGATAAGGAAGTTGTAAAAGCTTTTACTGGGATTAAATTAAAGTTTAAGAGCTAGTGCTGAGTGTGGCAAAGAAATGAAATGGCATCATCTCTGCCATTAGTGCTACTTGTTCTTCAGTTTTGTCCCAAACCTCCAATTTCAGTTAAGTTGTAATTTCAGTCAAGGTTGAGCCCTATGACGGTGTTGGTGCATTAACAAATCCTGCAGTCACCAGCTGCTCCACAATCCTGCAGAGTTTGGTGCACATTGCAACACAGTTTCCATTTCACCTCAGAACAGGGAGGAGGAGAAGGGTTAGCTGTGATTTAGGTCACTCTTTACATATTCAGAGTGAAGTTTCGTACCTCCTTATTCAGAACTGTGTGTCTTTCTGCACATTTACCTTGTGGTAGCAGTCAAATCTGTTCTCTCTAGGTTAGACTAATAAAAGCTTCTGGATAGTCCCCTCCCCCAGACCAAAAGTGGGACATGATTTCCTTCATTATCCTGCTCAGTGGGTGGCACTTTTGGCCATAAAAATTATCTTTTCTGAGGAACTGCTCCACCTAAATATCATAAACATTTTCTAATCTTGGCCAAAGAACAAAGTGAAGCAGCTCTGGCAAGAGAACTGAAACATTGTTCTCTTGCTGTGTATTTCTCTGCTAAGTCCCCAGATGCTGAAACCATAGAACGTGCCCAATTGAGATGATTCAGCCAAAGTAAGCACAGCAGTCAGTGAACAGAGACTCTTGGCTTTTCTTTTGTTTCCTTTTTAGCTAGATTAGTTGCAGATTAACTTGCTGCTCACCCATCTTTTAGAGTAGAAGGAAGGTAGAATGAGTAAGTCCTTCTTGATGCAAAAGCCATCTTGGTTAGTAATACCTTTGGCATTTGGACATAAAATTATTATTCCGTGGCTGCATTGCTACCAAATACATTACAGCAAGGAGAAACCACTATTTCTCCTGTTTATAGAAGCTAATTACTTTTAAATATGATGATGATGATTATCTTCAGATTTACCTTTGTTTCTATGCATAATAAGGAAAAAATTATTCATGTAAAGCAATTAAAGCCCTTGGTATTGAACCAAAATTAAAAGAAAAAAAAAAAGAATGCTCACATACACTACTAAGCAATGATTTGATTTTTTGTTTTAGAACACTGCAGCACAAAAGATGATGTTACATGACAGAAACTGCAATCAAAAACCTTTTCATCATGCAATTTTACATGTTACTTTGATTTTAGGTGCTTCCATCTCCTCCAGTACCTAAAACTACCCAGGGATTTATTGGCTGGAGATCAGGTATTCCAGAGCTGGGACTTGAACACGATTATCAAATCCAAAGCTGCAAAGGAACCGTCGATACTATGAGAGAGACCATGTGAGCCCCCTGAGTGACATTATGAAATAAAGAGTACACAGGCACATAATGATTCCCTGCATTCCTAAGGAAATATCCCATAGTGGACTGTTGATCATTTCTGCAATTTATGTAAAAATCCACAATCATTTTGGTAAAATGTGAACATTTTCATGGAGCATTTTACTTAATTGAAATCTGTGGCATCCAAGCTGTTAGCTCTGCTTCAGAGCTTCTGCTTCTAGCTTAGAAATAACAACGAATAAACTCAGATAAACATCACAGAGTAGGTAATATTTTTGTTAGCACCGGTAAGACTATAATTTTAAAATATTCATTGGAAGTTGGAATGACAGAGCAAATTTTGATAATTGTTTCTCCATGAGAACCTCTACTCATAAAAAACACTTTCATGTATTTTGTTTTTTGTGTTGGATGTGCTTTGCAGGTATTTCATGTAGTTACACATATAAGTGAAGGAAGTTCTCAGTAAAGGAATAGTGCATACAAAGGCCACAATGACACAAAGTCACTTTGAAAAATCAGTTTTGGTATCAAAACAGGGCTTTTTCCCATTAGTTAATCAGGATGTAAACAGGTTACAAAGGATTTATGTGGCTTCAGTTTTGTGTATACCAATTTTGCACCAACCAGGAAGAGATCCTGAGAACCAGCAGGTGATTGCACTGGTGTAGCTCCCTCAGTGCTGTGGAGTTCAGTCTTGCACTTCATCACGTACCCAAAGTTTTCCCAAGATTTCTGGAAACTGAGAAAGAGACTTCAGTTGCAGCAACTCTTTGCACAATATAATTCTATCCAAGGTGATTAAACCAGGAGGTTGTTTAAACAAAGAAGAGCCTCCAAGAAGTCAACACAGGCAGCTCCCTCTAACTCCTTATCGCTTAAAAAGAGGAAAGGTTTTCCTCTTTAACCCTGCTGCAAGGTGTCCTTTGTGTTCTGCAGCCATCAATATCTACTGCTTGAGTCAGCACTAAGTCCTTGGCCTTCACAGCAGTAAGTCAGCAGCTAGTGTTTGTTCTTCCCTTCTTCCCAAGAAATGACTCACAGTGATCAACATCCCACCTTTAATTTTTTTTACATCCACTTCCAAATGCCCACAAAATAATAATATTTTACTTTTTTCCATATTCTTTAAAAATAATGGAGAAGTGAGTCATATCCTTTGGAAAGATTACCAAGGAGTGAGAACACATAGCAGAAGCAACTTCAGACACTTTACTTAAAAACCAGAATGAAGAATAACTTGGAATCAGACTCTGGAAACTTAAGTTAAATTGTAGTTTAGCTACTAACCATAACCTGTGTACTGTTCTTTGAACAACCAAGATAATTGTAAGAACAATATTTAAAATCAGCATGCTTTCTTGTCATTGCCAACTTTGTATCACTTGCTTATTTTAATCATATGGTTCTTCAGTTTATTTTAAGGTCATGAAATCTTATTCTTGTCTGATTTATATAAACAGGTATAATAATGATTAATGTGTAATTTAGCAGCAATCAAATTACATTAATTCAGGCCAAATGAAAGGGGAACTACAAGACCACTGGTTTTTAAAGTTATATTAGAGAACCAAAGCTGGCACCAAATATCCAGTGGATGTTTGTATGAAGTGGAATCCAAATCCAGATGAGCCATTGTTGGATTTTGAAAGCCGAAATAAATTCTTTGTCCAGCATCTACAGTTGGACATTCCTGAATCTTGTTCCGATGACAGAATATTAACTCTGTGCTAACAGTAAGGGTTTGTTATTGTACATTTTGTCACTTAAGGTACCTTTACTTCAGGAGATCCTTGTGACCCAGAGACTGAAAGGGTGCTTTGGAGAATAAACCTACTCAGTGCTGTGCGTGAGACATTTCTGCAGTGGCAAGAAATTTCAGTGACATCCCAGCGACACCCACTGCAGTCCCCAGCCTGAGCACAAACTATCTCCAGTTCCTCCTATTGGCTGCTCCATCAGCCTGAGGTAACTTCAGTTATCTCATTACTGAGATTGTTTCCTTACAAAACAGAGGATGAAGATTTTTTATCGTAATTTTCAGAGGCAGAGAGCTCCTCATTTGCACACATTTCCTCCTTTAGTGAAGGATTCCTTTTGGTTCCTCCCACGTTCTACAAAGTAGCAAAGGACATTAATCTAACAGTCACTGGCAACCACAACAGAAACCTCTGCTCCTGTGAAGCCCAGTCCAGGTCCCAGGCTTTATTTGCTAAATATGTTGTGTTTTGTTCCCCTTGAAACAGTGCCCTTGTAGCAAGACAGATAAGGCCCACTCACAGACTATTACCTTCTTCCTGACTCCTGTGGTTTTCACATCCCATCAAGTTGTCATTTAGTTGAAAGCATGTCAGACCATTTCACAGGACCATACTGGAATAAATTTAACTATACTGGAAATTGATCCTGTTGTGCTGAAACTGTGAAACTCATTGGGTTAGAAGTGAACAAAACATCATCCCTCAGTCACACGTGGAAAAGACTAATGGTACTGAGAAATAATTTTAAAATATAACAGTTTTGTTAACCTCACATGTCCAATTTTAGGTGAGCTGCACTCTACAGTTACATATGAGATCTGGCTGAAATTTGGAAATTATTAGACAGTAATATGCTTTAATTAATGGAAATTACACTTTTACACCTTGTGGTTGCAGGTTGTGTATGTGACCCAAGTGATTCAACTTTGAATTTGGCCCTTTCCCTCTTATTTCCCCCCTCCCTGCTTTATCTGCTTCCCTAAAGAAGTGAAATAAACGGAAAATTCACTAAATAGTGAAATAAACCTGTGGACTTCAAAGAACAAAAACAGACGCAGCCATGAAGAAATAAACAGAACAAAGAATCTTCACTCCCCACGAGCACCAAGCTTTCAGTTTGGCTCCACTGACAGCAGCTTCCTTGAGTGCAGGATCAGCCTTGCAAGTGCCAGATTGGGATTAAATGTGGACACAATTCCTGTTAGGCAAACTTTTAAACAGCTCTAATAACAGAATTATTTAGAGTTCCAATAGAAGGAACATAGAAGTGGCCATATTCCCTCTCTGCTTCCTTGGCAAAGGCTCTTTATTCAGTCCATTTTCTGTCTGCTTTCCCCAAAGATCATCATTGCGGAGAAGAGCCCTGCACCCAAACAAGCCGTGGCAGCCCTCGCCCCCCGCCCCTGCACACACATTTCTGTCTCCGGCTTTCCCTGCGATGCCTCCAGGCTGCGAGCGACACCCGGCTAATCCGTCCTGCTCCAGCCTGACCCCAACCTGACAATGCCTTCTCACTTCCCGCAGCCGCCCCGCAGCCCCCCCTTCTCCTCCCGAAGTGAGAGACGGGCAGTGCTTTTATTCCTCACCGGGGAGCAAGACGAGCCCAGCTCTGCTCGTGAATCTCCTCTGCTCGCTGACATGCGTCAGACACAACATTCTCATCCTTAAAAGATGGGGCAAAACAAAAACAAAGCAAGAGCCCAAAAAAGAAACCCCAGTGAGCTCCAGTCCTTGTCTGGCAAAATTAAACAGCCATTTTTCTCTTATTGCCAGAGCCCACTGATGTCCTTTGTTTCGGTGAAAGCTGTGTGGATTTCTTGTGTTCCCATCACACATGGTTAATGAGCAAACCCCCCATATTTACCATCTCTCAGGAGAAACTGAGATCCGACTGACAGGCTGGCAAGGAAGTGTGGAGGTACAAGGTTTATGGGGTCACTTGGATATGGAGATCTTGTCTCCCACCTTGTTTCCTTCCTGGCTCTAGTTACAGGCAAAGTTGGGAGTTCTCTGTGGCAACAAAACAGCTCCTCTTGCTGAAGCCCAAGGCTTGAAAAGTCAGGCTGGCTGTGCTCCTTCTGCACAGGACAGCGGGGTGGAGGGAGAACTCTGCACCAGGAGATGGGCCCTGAATATTTAAGGTAGGAAAATTCACTTTAACCTACACTTTATGGGAGTCTTGAGCTAGCTCTGGCCAGGGCACAGTGCCAGGTAAAGGGAAATTACTGGACAATATCCTGATTCCCAAAGAGCACTGCTGATGCTTCTGTTCTCCCAGAAGCTGTGCCCACAATAATTTGAGTTACTCATGTGCAAATGAGAAAAATTTCACCAGCTCTCACCATAGATTTGACCAAAGCAAGTTTTTCACCTTGCTTGTTTGCTTTCACCATGTTTGTTTGCTCTTCTGTTTGTTTAAAGTAGGAGTTCTGAGAAAAAAATCAGTATTTTACTGGGATAGCCTCAAGCAATGGACAGCTCGAGCTCCTTCACTTGGGCCAGTGCTGTTTAACTTGAGAGGGAACAACCTTCTTCATACTCAACAGATCTCAATTAAAATGTCCTGCATGCATATATGCAGCATCCTACACTTAAAGGGCTCAGGAAGGAGAAAGGATTGCCTAAATCTGCTTTGAATTTTCCTTTCATTTGGACTGTTGGAGTCACTGCTAATCCATCCTTACCCATCAGCAGTGACAGGCAGGACCAGGCTGGTTCTGCTGGGCAGCCACCCTGGTACTCTGTGTGCCCCTCTCAGCTCACTGGTCCTGCTGGGGTTAACCTGCTCTTGAGGGTTTCTGGAACACAGAAGACACCAAATTACACGAACACTGCAATTATTTTGAATGTATTTTACATTCATTTCATGTGTGTGGTTGGCTGTGTTGCTGGGGTTGTTTTGGAGCAGAATAAAGCGCACACAAAAAGTGGTCATGGATGTGTAAAAGCATCTGAATATAAGAACAGCTCTTCAAACCTACTGAGCCAAATCTCTTCCTCTTTTGAAAGGCCCTATAATGATGCATTTATACTGTGGAAAAGTAGATAAAGACACAGCATTGCCTTGTAAGCCTCCTGAACAGTCCCCATAAGGGCAGGGGACAGCCAGGTTGCAGAGCTTGCCCTATACCTCAGGTTCCAAAATGTTGGTTTGTTCACTTGGTCTTCCCAAACCCCATAGGGTAAACACAAAGAGAAATCAAAATCCAAAGTCTTACAAGACCAAAGATCCAGCTTAGGTCTCTCACAACACCAATAAAAACAAGCTTCACTTTCCCTCCTGATGACTACGGCCTTCCCTGAAAAATTACAGCTTTATTATGCATAAATTCAATTTCATCAACTGCTTTTCTTTATTGTCCCTTCTAATTATGCACACATATACTTGTTATTTATTGCAATACATAAATCATGCCCCAAGCATGGCACAGAAGTACATACAGACTTCCTATGTAAGAAGAGTGGAAAAATCAGTCAGGCCAATCAGGAATTTATTTACTCCCCTGTCCCATTCTGGATTTGTAGGGTGTTCATACAGATTCAGAAACCACATCTGAATTCTGTCTGAATTCTCTCTTGGGTTATCACAAGGGCATTAATTACCTGCATTCCATAATCTATCACAACACTTTTAAATGGTTTTTAATTCTGAAAAACAAGGCCAGATGCACAGAAGTTTTTATGCTTCTGACAGCATGAGGATGACAATACAGTAACTCAATTTGTTGCCTGATTTTGGCTCAGAGAGGTTTGGGTCAGTGGTGTTTGATGTGCCACAGGCGTTTACTTTTAAACTCTGGTCATGATTCAGGACTGCAGTCCAAATTCAGACCTTTAAATGATACACCACAAGATCCTGGTTTCTGCACAAAGCTACAGAGGGAGCTTAAGCAATGAGATCTTATCTTAAACTTTAAAAGTATTGTCTGAAATTAGTCCCTGTGGATAAACCCCTTCAGGGCAGGACGCCAGGGCCTTACAGGAAGGGAGAACATGGGACTTGTTTCACTGTGCTGACCACTCACCCTTCCCTGCAAGGACATCTGTATACAACAAAACTAAGCCAAAAATATCTTTTTTTTTTTTTCAATACCTATTGAACCACCTATGGAATTGATCTCATGTGTACATTTGCTCTGCAAGGTGTCAGGATAGCACAGAGCCCAGAGGCATTTATGTCCAGTTAAGAATGTAATGCCTGCAAGTCTCCCTTGTGCCCCAGAGGAGAGGGACTTGAGGCCCCTATAATGGATGTTTGTTTGTCTGTGGAATCGATTCATTAATTTGTTTCACACCAATCATTAATCAGCATCTGGTGCACAGACAGTCCGAGGGGTCACATGAGCCATGCAGTGCATCACCCCCTGCCCTGCCAGGCTTCTCCAGAACTCACAGATACTAAAACACCAAACAGGCAGCAGAGGGGCTTCAATTTGGTAAAGCAAATGCCAACAGTACTTTGCAGTCTTTGGATGAGCCCAGCTATGGAAGCTTTCCTAAGCAGAGCAGGGAGCGCTCCCCTCGTGTCCCTGAGGTCACAATTTGGCTAAACATCTGCAGAGCACGCTTGGCTCATTACACATGTGCATATCTAGTCCACATTCAGCAGCAAGGGAACAGAGACAGTATATGGTAAAATACTGGAAGTGCACTTCAAAGATCAGGATGCAATTCCATGGACTCCCAGGGTGACTTTGGCCACAACAGTCACCTCCCCTGCTTCAGCTCCCAGCTGTAAAAAGCAAAATAACCATCTCTCATTTTTACATCATCCATCTTTGCAATTTAGACTTGGAGTTCTTTGTAGTGGTGTCTCTATATCAAAATACACCCGGCTTCAGCACACAATGTCCTCCTCAGAACAGCCTCATGGAAATGTATCAAAAAAAAAAAAAANAAAAAAAAAAAAAAAACAAAACAAAAACCACAAAAAACTATATAAAACATCCACTGATGAGATAAGACCACCAGCACAACAATGCAGTGAACAGCTGTAATCTGTGGGAGGATTATTTCTCTTTGCCATAAATGCCATCTAATTTTCAAGACAAGCTCTTCCCTTTCACAGAACAGGGAGCTCAGTGTCTGCAGACAACTTCCCTTCCCACCAGTACGCTTTTTAA